CCTTAACCACTCTTATACGTTAAGTCAAGTAATATATTTGTTTGACTTAACTGGCGACGACACATTTTATTATTATTTTATCTAATATTTAGTTAAGCCAAGCAAGCATATTATACTACCCCTGACATTAGGATGTGCAAATTTTCGATGTTTGATAAGAAAAGAAAGAGTAGGAAAATATTTTTTATAGAGAGTACAACAGCGTCTAGCATAGTTTTCTGCAGAAAAAGATGGAAGGTAAGTGTCATATGTTGGGATCTTGATAGAATCAAAATATTCTAAAGTATGAATTGCATTTAAGTAGTGACCATTCTTTCCTTTAATTAACGAAAGCAAAAACCCATTGTTGATACTTAATAATGTAGCAGCATCCTTAGCCTGTTTAGGAAAACAACATGATAGATCATTACATTTTCGAATATCCAAAGAATATTGACAGATGATACAATAATTCTCGATCCAAGACCATGATACAAATAATTCATCTTCATCATCATTGTTGTCTTCATTATTTTTTTTATTTTGATTTTCTTCTAATTTATTTTTATTTATTGATATATTTAAAAAGGGATTTATTTGTTCATCAACATATTTAACAAAAACTAGCTTTCCATAGATAGGGTCTCTTCGCCACAAATCAGCAAGGGTCTCGCTGGCATGCCGAAAATTTCAAAGTCCAAGTTTATAATTTCGCACATTTTCTTGAGAATCCAAGTGATTTCCAAAATGATTAATTGGTAAAGTAATCCCAGCAACTTTTCTAGATAGTGATGACATACTTCTTTCAACTGGGTTATATGCTGATTGACCCAGAGCGTGAGTGCGAATTGTTAAATAATTCAAATTTAGATGACAAAATAACTTACAGTATTGTATGATATTTTTAAAATGTCGCGGATTTTTATCCAGCCCACCATCAACTAGAAGGACTCACAATGGTTTGACCACATCTTTATTCCTGAATAGGAATGGTAAAAAAAAAAATTTTTTTAACATTCTTTTGCTAATTTCACCAATGCCGCATCACTCAGTACAACAATTAATATTTTAATAATTATTAAACATTAATTGTCACTAGGAAAAAAATTAGAATCAAAATTATGTGCGCATTGCGCACATAATTTTAAATTTATGGTTCATATGCTGCACAAGTTATTTAAATATAATGTGTGCTTTTAATTTATTAACTATATAGTGCACATTATTTAAAATATACTGCTAATAAGTTATGCGCGCAAAGCATATAATTTTTGTGCGCAAAAAATTTTTATGTGTACATATGCACACATCGAATTTTCGTCACTCTGTATGATGAGGTGTTGATAAAATAATATGGACTCATTTAAAACAAGTAATAATTAAAGTTCGAATTTTTAAATATATTACCTGTTTTATTATGTAATAAAAAATATTTGAAATTCTAATCTGAAAACCTCATCGAACTTTTCATTGGAAACCAACGATAAGATGTCTGTTATATGTGTAACAGCAGAAGAACCAAGATGCCACTGTGGTCTGATAAAAATTGCCATTTGACCAACTCATAATGATTCATCAGTTTCTTTTGGATTGATTAGCAAATAGACAGATGGTACTAATTTTTGTGAAGACCTGATTGGAAAATTATAATTAGGTACTGACACAGGTTCAAGAACTGTTTGCATTGTTTCGAAATATCTTCCTACAGTGGGAATGCCAACAGACACCTTTGTCTTGTCATCTTGCAACAATATAATGGATTGATCAGCAAAAACAGAGGCGAAGTTTCTAGCATTTTTTACTGACGCCAAACAATAATGCCTGTCAATATGATCCCTTTTGTCAGTCCTGCTAACTTCTGCAATTCCAACTAAAGCTGGATGGTGGTGAGCTCGTGCTGAAAGGTTACGATTATTTCATAATTTCGTGTAGTTGTACATGACAAATACTCATTATATTTTTCCTCTAATGAACTGCAAAGGTGATTAATCATTCTGACTTTAATGATTTCACGACGCCTTTGAGCATTAGCCTCTCCAAATTCAATACAAGAGTGTATGTGGTCATATAGGTCGGGATATTAGAAAGTAAGGGGGGTGGCCAAAAGAATTGTACCTTATAACCAATTGCTCCTTCTCAAGCAATTTTTTTTTTGTCTTGTGATTTTCTCTGACTTGCCACGTGTCTTTTTAGGTTGTCTAACCGAATGTCTTGAGTTTTTATACTTTTTTGTATATTAAAAGCCTGAGAAGAAAAATTTTTATAATATTCATGATTAGTAGTAATTCTTGTTATAGCTTGTAACTCGGCTAATTCTTTTTCTAACTCTTTTTTTTTAATAGATGCTTCCTTTTGTACTAAAGTATTGTAAGAGATTGGTTCATCTGATTGTGGTGGTTCAAGTGGTAATGACGATGATGATGACGATGACGACGATTGTGATGGCAGGGATTGTCTATTCAGAACATGAGTTATACATCCTCGCAATTGTACTAGGGTATTTAGATAATTAGATATTTTATTTTCAATTTCTTCTTGAGAAAGTTTTTTAACTAAATTCTATTCATGGTTGCATTCTTCATATAAAACTTTTTTATCAAGAGACGGAGAGCCCAACGAAGCCATTTTATAATAGGCGAATGCATTAGTAAATTTATGAAAAGTGCTTTGAGGACTTTTATAAATATACTTTTTATTAAAGTTTGGAGTGGAAAGAAACGTTTGCATTTTTTAATAATTCTATTTAATTTTTAATATAGATGCTTGTATGATAATCTAATGTTTAACAAAGGTTTCTACAAATTAAAAATAATTTAACAAGCAGAAGATTTTAATCATATTATGGTAGGTGTTTTATTTATTTAATTTTTTTTAAATTTTATTTACACTAATGAATCACGCTTCTCTTTAACACTAATTATATATATTATCATCTATAGAGCCTGATTTATTATTTTATTCAAGTATAAATCAAATAACACTAATTACATATATTATCTTCTATAAATCCTGATTTACTATTTTATTTAAGTATAAATTGCTTTCTGCATTGCTTTATTTCACCCAAGCGCATGGTATGGTTTTCTTTAATTCTTGTTATCCACAGTTTTGGCTTACTATTTTTTTTTAAGTATTAATGATTTTTTTTTTGGTTTGTATTTTGTCAGGGTTCTGCAAATTTTAGACATGATACTACTAATAATGTAGTGCCCGTCCCTGTGCTTGGTACCGTTTTATAACAGTACTATAGCGATATTGCAGAAATCTGCTTTTAATTAATATTTTAGTCCAATATCTCATGCTAAAAACCAAAAGATTCAGAATCGATTAATCATTTCCAATTTGAGTTACTATAATAATGGGCCTTTTCAGTAGTTCACATATTACAGTATATACAAATTTAGGGACAGAAAACCTTTATTTAGTTTAGTAACTTTTACACTAACCAAAAAAATGCACTTGTTCCCAAATTTATACATATATATAAACCGCTGAAAAGGCCAATAGCATATAATGATCAGATTGTTTTGATCATATTCGAGACGAATTTTAAGCCTACATATTAATATTAATGATTTTTCTCGATAATGATTAATTCTGTTTACTACTATCACTACGCTTGATTATGGATTGCTATACTAAGTATAAATAAATGTTATAATATTTAGATTTTTTTATTATAAATTACTAATATTTTTATTTCTGCTTTAGATCTGGAATTAATGTGGATTTAACAACTTCATGTTTAAATACTAAGGTAAGTATGGGTATTATGGCGCATTACCAATTATGGCGCAATTGCAATATCTCGCGAACTGTCGATCAGAATTGTACGATTTTGGTACCAATCGATTCGTCTCAGTGAGATGAATTGATTGGTACCAGAATCGTGAGATTCCAATTACCAGATCACGAGATATTGCCGCTAAAGTGATATTTATTATTCTTTCTATATATGTATTTACAAGGAAAATCGTATA